GGGTTTAGGGCTTAGGGTGTTGGGCTTAGAGTTTAGGGCTCTAGGGTTTGAGGGTTTAGGGTGTAGGGTCAAGGCTGCGGGCTCAGGGCTTAAACCCTTTCAGGGCTTGCAGGATCTGGAGTTTAAACTTTTTTTCTTGTAAGATTTAGCTATTTAAAGCCAGTGGATCTTTTTGACTTGAGGTTGTACGCCATTTGAGTCAAACGTCTTCAGGGTTCGAAGTGTTGAAGGCTTGACCTGATGCATTTGGGATTAGAAGCCATTCGCAGGTAAAACCTTGTGGGGTTTAGGCTTGTCAGGGTTGCTGGGCTTGCGTAAGCACGCCTGGCCCGGGCCCCGGCTTACCAAGGATCAGAGTCTGGGTTGAATACAGGATAAAGATTCGGGGCTTTAGGGTTTTGAGTCCAGGAGTTTGGGTGGGGCTCTTGCGCCTTCATGCAGTATTTTTGAACGACGAGGCTTCAGCAGGGGAAAGGTATGGTTGATACTAACAATCCTGCATGGCCGTGGTATATTACTTGGAGGGTCAGCGGGGCTTAGCAAGTAGGTTTAGAATCCCTATAAGCCAGATAATAGTCCCAATTATCCCCATGATGAACCTACTTACTAAGTCCCCCTGACCCTAAGCCCTAAACCCCAAACCCTAAGTTTTAGGGGAGGACTAGGAGACTTCAGGCCTTGCGGGATGTGTAGCATCAGCTGTGTGAGGGTCCAAGGGAGGCTGGGAAACCTGCTTGCTTTCAGGTAGGTGTAGGGTTTAGGATTTAGGGTTTAGGGTTTAGGGGTTAGGAATTAGGGTTCAGGGCCTTTTTTATGTGAGCTATAGTCTCAAGTCCTCACAGGGGATTGCATGCATAAATGTATGTGTGTGTATATATATATATACATATACATCCATAAGGGATCAAGAAGGGGTGGTGGTATAATAAGAATATAAGAGGAGCCGAATATAACTACCAGTAAGTATCCCTTATGGTCACTATTACTGGGTGGGGGGACCCTAAACCCTGAACCCTAAACCCAAAATGGGTACACAGCAGATGGGTGAGGATGCAGGGAGTGGGATGGGTAGGTTACAGGACGGCCGGATGCAGCATGTGAGATTCATCGCAGAGGATTTGGGACGTCGGCTGGGATTTGGGGTGTAGGTTTCAGGGATTAGGGCTTGGGACTGAGGATTAGGGCTTGTTTATTTCAGGGACTAGGGAAGTTTTGAGGGCCGTTCCAAAGGATTTCAGGCACGGCTTTCTTAGCTCAGTCTCTGATGCGCGCTCAATTTGATAGCTCAGAATGTGGAATCTTTGTTGGGCTGCTTGGAGTCCAGCCGCGAGTCTGTGTGGATTTTAAGACTTCTTTGTCTGAAGTCTTTTGTGAAGATGGACCATGGGGCTTTGGCATTCGTCCTTCTGGTTGTTAATAGGGCGATGGACATCTAGAGTAGCCCCGATAGAACCCCAATAGTAAGATAGTTTCCAATGCCCTAACCCTAGATCCTCGATAGCAGATTCCATTTTCTTTTCCATTCCCTATGCCCTAAACCCTAAATAGTATCTTCCATGTTCTTGAGCGTTCCCTCTTTCCTCAGTGACAACCAATACCGTAACTGGGTAGCGGTTAAGGAACCAAAATTCAGTCGCTATAACAAGGAAAGTCCATTATATGCACACAATGTGGTAACATAATTTAAGGTCCTGAGCAGTACCCTGAACAGTACAGCAACCCAGTAACAACCCTAAGCCCTAAACCCCAGGCACGGGCTTTGTCAGAATGACTGACCTTCCCGACGACGACGAAGATGACGAGTCGGAGGCGCACGGGGGCTGGGGCTTAGGGCTTAAGGTTTAGGGTTTAAGGGTTTAAGGGTTTAAGGGTAAACCCTAAACAATAAACCCGAAACCCTGAACCCCAAGTATGTAAGCTTCTGAGAAGGTGGGGGGTTTCTCTGCATAGGCCTCAGCCAAGAGTGGTGGTTTATGCAGAAGATGGTCCGAAAGTTGTTCCAGGCTGTTGAATTCGTAGAAGTTAGCCAGATGAACTAGCCTACCCACCAGTGGTGGTATAAGAGGAGTATGTTGGGGCCCGAATGTAGTTGCCACCTGAGGATGGTAAAAATCGCCTTGTCACGAAGGTGCTGTTCCCTTACAATCCTTATAAGGCTATGGCACGCTACACCCCAAACACAAACTTTACCCCAATTGTCTTAGCCTCCACAAACCTTGAACCCTAAACTCTAAACCCTAAACTCTAAATCCTAAACCCTAAACCCTGTAAGTCCTAAACCCTAAACCCTACAAATCCTAGACCCTAAACCTTACCCACCCGAGGGCTAGCACTCAGCAGGCAGCGGCAAAGAATGTGACGTTTTCACCAGCAGGGTCCTCAGAGTGGTTTGGTGCAAAAGCATGTGTTTACTACTCGCTGAACCTCAGAAGTGTGTAGAATAATTGCCTGTGGGCTACTGTTTAGAGTGTTGGGCTATTATTTCACCTAGTTTTGGGGTTCAGGTTTCCCTTGACAAGGCCCAAACCCTAATCTCAAGGCTTGGAAAATATCCGTTGTACTACCAGGATCACCCCCTGAGACCACAAGCAGCTAACAATCAAATTGATGTGCACCCCCACAACCTCTACTACAACTAGTACTTGGAGGGTCAGGGGACTTGGTAAGTAATGCAATAGGGGGAGAGCTAGGGCCACGATATGGCTTGTAGTCTTACTGTCTCCCTCGAAATTTCTCTGACATTCCGTATTGCCAAGTACCCAACTATCCAACGAGGGTCTAGGAATAGCTGGGAAGCTAGTCTCATGTAAGTGGCCTACATTTTCGCTATGGACATACAGGTCGGGATCTACGGGGATTCAATGGGGGGATATGCGGATCGTATGGACAATCAGTGAATGAAACGGACGACAAAAGCGAAAACAACTTGGGAATTGTTTTTTGTGCACGTATCTATATGCATGTATATGTTTAGAAACCGGGTTATAGGGCTTTTTAGCAAACTTTGACTGTATACTTATGGTGCAGTGTACCTCGAACAGACCTCCGCATGATATCAGATCTTTTCAGGCCCGGTAGTTCCAGAAAGCCCAATAGACCGTATTTAAGTGAGGAACACGTCGTAAACGACGCTACCTCATATGTTTTGAATATTCGTCCATCAAGGGTTATTTAGCTTTTGTGGGGTAGAGTGTAGTTGCAGCATGATTTGGGGAACTGTCCTGAATTTCAGAGAATCGAGGTGACAAAACACAAAATCTGACAGTCGGGCATTATCCTGAGGTTCGCAGTCCAAGCACAATTCCAACCTATATCAGTAAAGCCTACCTTTGCCATGCCGAGCATAGGATGAAGTGGGAGCTTTTGAAAAAAAACATGCGGTTCTGTCGGAGACCCTAGGTAATCCCTATATGCAGTGTAGGGTTTAGGGTTTAGGCTGGGGATATACCCTACAAAAATGTAGGACAGAACCTGACAAAGGAAGGCCAGCTAAGGTGTAGGTAGACCTTAGTCTAAACCGCAAAGCCTGATTTAATAAGGGGGCTTTGGTAACCCCAACCCCAAAATTAGGACCTTATAACTTATAACCATCATATGATAGTCATAGGGTCCTGATTTTGGGGGCTGGGGTTACCAAAATATCCCCCTAAAGCCTAAACCTTATTGTCATTCCTAATCTGCCCTGAACCCTCAACCGCCGGAAGGAAGTTGATAGCCTCGCTGACACGGGAGACGGAGATGGCGAAGCAGTCTGGCGTAAAGGCCCTTAGAAGGGACCTTGGGGACGAATGGGGGGGGTTAGGGTTTTAGGGTGTATCGGTTTTAGGGTTTAGGGTTGAGTGAGGATTTGGAGTATTATGTCGTCCCCTTTTCCATGGGTCAGGGTTTGGGTTTACTCGAACCGCGAAGGTATGGAGAATTCACAACTTTGGACTTTGTAAAGTGAGTTATGGGCCCAATGTTCATCCCAGAACCCATCACCCTAAATCCAACACTTAAGCCCTAAACCCTCAACCCTATAGCCCCACGTAATAGCCCACATTGAGTTCCTTGGGCGCCCCCAGAGTTCCTCCAACTTTGGCGTCTCCTGCGGCAGGCACCGGCTTCGTGAGACCTTCCGACCTGCCCGACGACAGTTCATCCGAGGTTGGCCTTAGGGATTAGGACTTAGGGCTTATGGTTTAGCTTCTAGGGCCTAAACCCCAAACCCTCCCCACGGCAATATTTCAGGTTTAGGTTTTGCACCAGTATGAGCTGTTGGAGTCCATACTACTTCTCTGTCCGGGCCAAGTTAGGGTAGAGCGAGGGGCTTATGAGGTCTAAACCCACTGCCAACAATGAAGCCTGTTAAGTCTTCTAGGGTTTAGGAGAGAGGGTTTAGGGTGGGACTCCAATATACTATAGTGCTTATGAAGGGGACACCCAAAAAAGTGCCCCTTATTCTAGGAATCCCCAAAGCCATATTCTATCTACTTAAGGGGGACTATATATGGGGCTAGGGTTGATTGGCAGGGTTTGGGGTCATGTTGAGTTTCTGGTCATCAGTCATATAGGGTGGTTGCATCTCTGGTCTTAATGTTGAGTTCTGTGGATCTGTTTTATTTCTGAAGTCTGGAGAAGCAATCTAGTTCATACGGCCTTTCGGCAAGCAAGCCCGCAGCAGCCGTAGCCGAGTTCTTGCAGATGGTGCCTATCATGCACCTTGCTGTGGCCGGCAATAGCTGCCCTAAAAAAACCGCCAAAAACGTCCGGTTCCGTAGAACAAGGATAACAAGGAAAAATGATCCCAAATGGAAACGCCGCAGACTCTTCGGTTTTCAGCCTACATCTTAAACCACCCTAGACCTAAATTGTCCTTTTTAATGGCCGTGCGTTTTGCCTCTGCCTGTGATGTAGTCCCTGACATCTAACCTGACCCAGAAATGTTCTAGAAATCTAGGGGGTTTCATGAATGTTCAGCCCGGACTAAGCTAATGTCATGATATAATAGAGTACGCACCATGACCTTCTTGTAATCCTTGGGCTCCTACATTACAGTGCTCCCGACAGAAGGGTGCTCAACCTATTAGCTAAGTTATAAGAGAAAACTGTATCTTTCTGCACCCCCAACACAATCCCTAAACCGACAAAACCCTACACTGTTCACGATCTACAGGCCGCAGTTACTTACCCAAAGGGTCCAAAGTACCTACGCAGTACTAAGTGGGGCTTCTGTAGTAGGAACGCCCCTTATCATTTGCGAATGCATTCCCTACATCAGCTATAGTCTAACCTCCTAGCATCCCCCTTGCGACCCCTATAATGCTCCATATATAATCCCCTATATAACTCCCCTCTGACTGTAGCTCATATGGTTACTTGGAATTCTTTGGGCTTGGCCTTGTTGCCGCGAATGGTGTTCCGGTGACGCAGGCCGCTGAGAAAAGCGTGGCCTTCTCGCCAGCGCTGCCCTTAGAATTTCCTTGGGCCCAGTATCTACATGTATCTACGGTGCGAGCGCGCTTTCAGGCTTGAGTGAAGCAAATCTCTTGCAATCATTACGTCGCTTCATGACGTGTCTTTTCTGTACAAGTACCTAGCCAGACTTGCGGGGTTGCCTTTTGGGTCCTCCATGCTGAACTCACACGGCCCGTACATGATATATAGTATATACTCCCCTTTACGTAGATAGAATATGGCTTTGGGTATATTAGAATAAGACCCCATATACCCCATATTCTATCTCTTAAGGGGGACTATAAATTGTCAAGTTGTTGGAGCTTGTCAAACAGTAGGGGTCAGTCTCATACTTGTGACCAAGAGGCTAGCTTGGCTTGGAGAACCGGTCATGATGTTCATGCGAGCTATAGTCTAAACTCCTTAGACTCATTGCGCAGGGGAATATTTTGAGGGTTATTACGGGGGATACTAGGAGTGTAGCTCATGTGAGGGCTTCTCAGACAGTGCATGCAATGCTGTCTGTGGAAGCATGCCCTACGCAGAATTTACCTAGGAAGTTGACGGACTGGCTGAGATGGATGGTGACAGCTCAGCAGTTTGTCGAAAAGGTGGGGCGTGGTCTTTTGTATGCAGCTAGCCTTGCAAAACGTGCATCACGGACCGCAGAAAACGCAGAAAACAGTGACAGACATGTTTTTGCCCTCGCTTTGCCTACATTTCCTTACGAAAACCTCGCGAAGCTGTCTGGAACATGGAAGGCACTGGTTTTGTGAGAACGGCGGATTTGCCGGACGACGATGATGAGTCTGAGGTCCGGCCTCAACCCAGAACCCTAACCATCAGGTAGCAGTATGGATGTAAATGGCAATGTCTGGCAATGTGCCAAGTGGTTGGACTTGCGCAGCTGAGATTGGCTTGGATGTGTGCGCTTAAGTGAAGCATTACGATAGGCAAATTCCGTACGGGCAGGCCAACGACAGGAACGTGACATTCTCCCCAGCAGCCAGCCCGGTTGCTTGAGTCCAAAAGTAGCACAAGTGCCCTGTTGGAGGGGTCATTTGATTCAGGAGGTCGACGGCCTTGGAGAAACGGATGGGGAGCAGGTCTGTCGGAAAGGCGGCAAATGGCATAGACGTGCCTTAGGTAGCGTCCCCCCCATGTCAACAGATAGTTGAAACTAAGTGGTTTTGCAGGCACTGGTTTCGTCAGAACGGCAGACTTGCCGGAAGATGACGACTCGGAGGTCTGCCAGTGATTGCAGGGGGCAGCTTTGCACAGGTCCATCAGAGTCCCAGGTTGTGCAGCACTAGGCCGCTAG